CTCTTGGCTAGACTGTCCCCACATGACTTCATGTTCTTTTCCTCTCCCAGCAGTATTTCAAGCACTGGCAGAGGTTAGGCTCCACACCAGGTTCCAGAATCTGAGGCAGGCCATCATCTACCCAGAGAAGGGTCTCAAAGAAAAACATCACTCCTCCTGCTCCTCCCAGTTAAAAGATGTGGAGACTAGGCCCAGAAGGAAGGCTGCTTTCCCAGAACCAAACACAGAGTGAGCATCTTAGATACCCAGAGGTATCTAAGGCACCAACTGAACCATTCAGCTGCACCTGCCAAGGCTGGTGGTGTGAGGGCAGCTCTGGTCCATGCCAGGACAGGCCCTAGGGACTGTGTACAGGTAGATGATGGTGAAGATAGCCTGTGCTCCTTTCCCTAAGGCACCCTTGTTCCATAAGCATCCTGCAGCTCATAAACTGGCTCCCAACCTTTGGGCCTGAAAGTCCACTGACGCTTACCACATTCAGCTCTCGTCTTTATTACTGGATCTGGCTTTGTTAGTCCCTGGTGGCATCCTCTTTGCACCCTCCCCCAACATGGCAGGGGGTGTGAAGCAGGCAAGCCCCCCAGTCACACTCTCTACTATTGACATCCCATTCTTGCCATCCTAGATCTGGACTTAAAACTGAGGACCCTCAGCCTGCCCTGACAGCCAGTTTCAGGTTCATCAAGACCTCTCCCTCCTCCTCTTCCTCCTTCTCCTCCTCCTTCTCCTCCTCTTCCCCCTCCTCCTTCTCTTCCTCTCCCTCCTCCTTCCTTCTTCTCCTTCTCTTCTTCCTCCTCCTCCTCTTCCTCCTCCTCCTTTTTCTCCTCCTCCTCTTCCCTTCTTCACCTTGATCCTCCTCCCTCTCCCTGTGCCTTCCTCTTCTTCATCCTGGAAGTCAGGATGAATCAGAATCCTAGGAGGCACTGACACAGCCAACCCAGTCATATAGCTATTTCTGAATGCCCATCTATCCCCCTCATGCAGGGCAACATCTGGTACATCTTCAAATTAACCACCATGCCGTTTATGTTCAGAAACAGCACACTGAGACTGCTTACCCCAGGTGGCGGTCACTTTCTCTGAGCCCTTGGTCTCTCTCTCTCTCTCTCTCTCTCTCTCTCTCTCTCCCCTCTCCTCTCTCTCCTCCCAAGAATTGGATCAAAGACGGCACAGATTTTTGCACCTAGAGAATAGACATCCTCTCTCCTCTCTCCTCTCTCTCCTCCCAAGAATTGGATCAAAGACGGCACAGATTTTCCTGCACCTAGAATAGACATCACCCAGCTCTTACCCCATGGCTCTACCATCTCACCAAGTGGGTCCAGCTACCTAAGAAGAAGGGGTGGAGGGGTCCCTCACAACACACCTTTCTCACAGCTCTTGAATCTCTGTGTGTCCCAGTTTTTCAACTGCTCCTGAATTTTCATTTGTTCTAGAAGCTTTACAGGTCCCATAACTTCTACATGCCCCAGAACCTCCACACACTCCAGAACTTCCATGTGCCCCAGAAACTCCACATAACCAGAACCCGCATGCCCTAGATCTATATGCCCCAGAATCTCTACCTGCCCCATAACTTCCATGTGCCCCAGAACCTCCACATACCCCATAATCTCCATATACCCTAGATCTTTGAGAATCCCAATATATCCATATACCCTCAGAATCTCTGTATACCCTAGAATCTTTGCCTGTCCCAGAATCCTGTGAGCCCATGTATCCCTCTGTACATGGTCCAGCAAGAGCCTGTCCCAGGCAATTGTAAAGTGCCATCAAGAACCACATGCCATCCTCAGGCACATCTGCTGAGATAGCTTCCCTGCTCAAGGAGTACTGTGAGAATGCTCTGGGCTCATTGTAGATGGGCACCATGAGATGCAGGCAGTGCGCTCCCCAGTCTGTCACCATTTGTGATGTACACAGAGCTTAAGCATCTTCCATTACCACCCCACAACCCATCAAGAATAATAGCAACAGGATGAAGACACTGACGCTTGTCACACCATGAAAGTGGGCCACTGCCACCCAAGCTACTGGCTACTCAGTAGATTCTCAGGAACTGAATCAAAATAGAAATCCATTTCGGTTAGTTCCATTCGGAAACAAAGAACACTTAGGCCTGTGCGTCTTTTGTCTCCCAGACTTCCAGATGCTGAGAGACGATAAACAACCAAAACAGATGCATTTCCTAGAGAAAGGCCTTTTGTTGCCAGTCATCTGGAAATGAAACCAGGCACTCTCATCCTCCAGGGAGATGAACACAGCCAGAATGAAGAGGCCCAAAGGCCATGGTCAGTTGTGGCTTCTGGGCATGTCTGGCCCCCAGTCCCTGTGCTCAGAACAATTCTCTCCCTACCCCTCCACCTCAGTTTTCTTATCTGTAAAGGGAGGAATGGATCAAATGACCTCTAAGGCATCTCCAGTATTAAAAAAAAAAAATCTATGGCCATGTATAACGAACCACCTTCTGAAAGCCATTAAGTCCCCAGGGCTTCTTGCCAGGATCAATCTGACAGGTGACACAGAGGCAGAATATCATTACTTTTACTCATGATAAAAATGGTGGCATCATGTTCACACTCCACTCATAGACACACAGACAGATGCACACACACATACACACACACACACACACACACACACACACACACACACGCTCCAGATGCTGTCTCCAGGTGCTGTGAGAGCATGTGTACCAGGTACATCCTCTGCTTTTGCATGAGCTCCTGGGTTCCACAGCAGAATCATTGGGACCAAACTGAACTGAACCAAATCAGCCATCACGGCAGCATTCCACAGCTGCATTCATGCTGTCATTGAGGAAACTGAGGCAGAGTCAGTCATGCCTTACGTTATTGGGATTATGGTTCTGGAATTCTCATCCAATCACAGGAATCCAAGTAAGAGCTGGCACTGTCACAGCTTCCAGCTAAATAGGCACCTGCTGATGACCCCCACCCCCACCCCAGAGCCCTGAGTAGTGTCAAAGATTATCTGAAAAGTGCTTTAGAATTATCAAAAAAAAAAAAGTTTTTAAAAGCCGCACAGGGCCACACTGTCCTCAATTGTGACCCTGCTGGCACTGCTCCTTGCAGTGACCTAGCCCCTACTCTATGTAGCCTAAAGATGGCTCCAGACAGCAGAGTGTCAGCATTCCTGGGACCTGGGAAGCTCAGCTCTTCCCTTCCAGAAAGTAGACAGAGCTGAGACCACACTTGGAGAGACGACATGTGACCGTGCAGGTGCTTCACCTCTGACTGGTGCTCTGGCCAGACAAACACTGGCCAAGTCAGTGAGAGGCTTAATTTGACCTACCACTAACAAGCCTAGCCCCTGGGTGAGGAGGACAGTGGAGACCACCAAAACAGAATAGGAAGGTAGCCCGTGGGGACAGTGTCTATGGGAGACCCATGCAGTTTCTGGCTCTGATACTTCACAATTCCACACCAGAAGCAGTCAGGAGAACCTTGGTTTCTTTCTGAATAAATTCAGGATCTTCCTTCCTCTCTAGAAACCAAAATCCCCAAGAGAGTGGCCTCATCCTGGAGGCTCGCTGAAATCCCAAAGCAGCAGACTGACTTCTTGGGATTGGCCACTGTCCCAGCCCCTCAACATAAACTCCACCCCAGCCTAGGTGCCCACTCTGGAGCAGTTCCCAAAGCCCCTCTCTGTACAGAGACCTCTTCAAAGGAAAGGAAATTACCACTGAGTCTGGCCCATCTTTGTCCTAGTTCCCTAAGTGCAGTCCAAGCCATCAATGCTAAGGAAAATACTGAAAACAGGTCCAACTCCATCTCACAGCCAAGGAGGCTGATGGGAGAAAGGAATGGAAGCATCCTAAAGAACCCAGAGGCAGCGGCCCTATGGACAGACCCCAAGTCCCTGATCCCCAGGACAGCACCCTCCTGACCACAGCTTCCCTCCCAGCACTGACCAGGCACTGACCTTGCCCAGAAGCTCCAGCACTTGGCAAGCCTTACAGAGACACACAGGAACACATGTACACATATGTACACATAGGCACATGTGCTCATGCATGCCCACATAGTCACACATACATACTCATGTACATACAGAGACACAAGTGCACATACACACATGAAAATGCATGCACACATAGGCACAAGTGTGTAATCATGCCCACACAGGCTCATGTATACACAGAGACACAGGCATACAGGCATACATGCACACACATGCACACATAGGCACAAATGTGTACTCATGCCCACACAGGCACAGAGACACACTTATATATACACAGAGACACAGGCACACAGACATGTACATGCATGCACACAGGTACAGCACACAGGCATACACACATACATATACATGTGCCCTCTTATTCATGGATAATTTCTTCAATAAGATACTTCGTGTTTTTTTTTTATTCTTTCTTTTTTAAATAGTATTTTTTATTCTTTGAAAAGCTCATACATGTATGCAATGTATTTTGGCCATATCCACCTCATACTTTCCCCACCTCAAATTCCCTATGGGTCTCCCCAAAATGCCTCTTTCCCAACTTCATGAACTTTTCTTTTCCAACACAAGCTTTTCATTTATTCTATTCCTATATTGTGAGCAGTGTTTCTCCCTGAGTCCTATTTTCTCACTGGGAAGGGATTAAAAGAGAAGGGCAAAATTCTTGTCACCAGCACCTGTGTGCCATGCTGGTAGGGAGCTCACTACCTCACCCGCCACCTCTCCCCTGGGAAGGAGGGAGCCCTCAGACCCCGGGACAGCGCAGCCCCGCAGATCTTTTGCCTCCGTTTGTAGCCCAGGTCCTTCGCCCTCGGCTCCTCCGATGGTAGAGGGGCAACGAAGACCCTCCGCAAAGCCTGGGAGCTGCACTGCCGTCAGCGTGAGTCTTTCCCAAACTCTGGTAAAGCAGAACGCCGCAGCCTAGGGACCACGCGGAAAGATTAGGGTCTGCGCGGGTCCCGAGGCCCCAGGGGTTGGGGCCCCCCCCCCCCCGGGGCCAGATGTCCCCTTACCACAAAGCAGCAGCAGCAGCAGCAGCAGCGGGAGAAAGTGCAGCCGCAGCGCCAGGGTATCCATGGCCAGTGCGGATCTGTCCTGCTCGCAGCGCAGCGGGGCGGGGGGGGGGGGCGGTACGAGGCTTGGGGCGGGGCCTCGCAGAGCCCATCCCAGGCCACGCCCCAGCGTTCGCCGGTAGCCTTTCCAGTTCTGAGATGCAGGCCTAGAATCCTCGCCATCCGTGGAGGAGCAGGTGGTGGGAGCAGGGGATGCGTGTGTGTGTGTGTGTGTGTGTGTGTGTGTGTGTGTGTGTGTGTGTGTGTGTGTGTGTGTGTCGGGCTGGAAGATCCTCGCGGGGGTTGCGGGGGAAGACGTCTAGGGAAGGAGTTCTCCACTGGAAGCTACGGGTCACGTAGGAGTGAACTGGGTTAAGATTGTAGAGCCAAAGTGGGGAGCAAACTGGGGTGATGATGGGATGAGGATGAAGTACAGGCTGGTGGCGGGGGACAGGAAGAAGGTTGGACTTGGAGAGGCCTGGGGTTCAACCGAAGTCTGAGTGGGACCCCTGGGAGAGAGGAGTCTTTGAGCAAAAACAAGTTTGGGAATCCTGCCTCCGAGGGACAGTACAGAGTATGAAGGGACTAATGTGTAGATGGGAGAGGGGGAGCATCATTTGCAAACCTGTTTGTGTGTGCAAGCCAGAAGCACACTGAGGTCAGGACAGTGACTAGCGTCCTCAAGGACCACTGTGAAAGTGTCAGGGACCAGAAGGAAAGAGAGAGTCTCAATTTCTCCACTCACAGGTCACTTAACCAGGACAGATCACCTCCTCTGTTACCCTCTGCCCCAAGCACAGGCCCTAACCCCAGTGGTGATGTCTTCTGAATTGCCAGGGTTGAGACCACTCCTCAGACCTAGGCAAGGGCATCCCTCTGCCCTCTGAAGCTTACTGTCCCCCTGGAGAGCCCAGACTCTGCTAAGAGATACAGCACAGACCTGGGAAGGTGGCTTCCCACCTGGACAAGTACTCCCCTCTCTGATCAACAGCTGTGGTCACCGTCACATGATCCCAGCTGGTCATTCCTGATTTAGAAAGACCCACTTTACAACCTGTGTGAATTTCACTAAGAAGGTTCTCATTAGAATGAGAATTGAATCAAGGGAGATTTAAAGTATGAAATTTTCAAAGAATAAATAAAAATGATTTTTTAAAGCTGATTTAAATTAATCACCTGCTTTCTGTCTGAGGGGATACAGGGCAAGTCAAATAGTGCCAACCCCCAGGTCTTCCACCCAGAAGTGAGTGGCCCCCTGCCCTGTGCTAAGGGGAGGCACTAACCAAGACAAAAAGGCTAGGCCAGAGTCATATCCACAGCCTGTAGGCTACAATAGGGAGATGGGATGGTCAGATCACCCCCCAAATTCTGCACCAGCCTGGGGGCTATGGTTCAGCACTGACCAGGACATGGGCCTGGTGGACCTGCAGGGATGGTGCGCAAGCGCCAGCAGCCTGCATACAACCAGCTCACAGACGCTCTGGCTGCTTTATCAGCCTATGCAGAATGTTTCCCTGGCTGTGCTGTGGGGAAGCCCTGTCACCACAGCTCCACAGAGCTGCCTGTGTCCCCTGACACACTCCAGGGGCTCTGCTCCTGCCCAGGACAGGCAGCTTACATCATTTCTTCCATAAGATAGGGACTTTTCCTTCTCTGCACAGGGGCAGCACATGGCCTCCCCAGGGCAGGGATCTACTGCCTGCAGGTTGATTTAGCCCAGGTCAGTGCTATGCCTACTGTTTGGCCTTCCTGATATAGGGGGCCACCCTGTTGCTCCTACCCTTACCCTTCCTGTCCCATGCCCTGGCTTGGTGTACATGTGGCCCACCCACACAGAGCTGTCTCCACTGAGACTCCCTGATCCTCTCCCACTACTGGTCCAGCTCTTCCTACCTATTCTGTATAATGCCCAGATGCTGACCTCTGGGCCCCCAGCAATACCCAGAGTAGCCCCCAGGACAAACATGAGCTGGGGATAGTCAGAGCCAGACTGGCTTTCTTGGGCCACCCACCTACAGAGATCCCATGGCCATGGGGACACAGGGCTAAGAGGCAGAATTCCCACTGGGAAGACAGCAGTTATTATGATGGAGCAGGCCTGAGGGCACATCAAGGGATTCATGGTTGTCCCAAACTTTCATTTTTTCCAGTAAGAGCCTGAATTCTAGGTATCTCTGATGGCTGTGACCCCTCAAATCTGGCAACAGAGAGTGTTGGAGAGGCTAAGGCTGACAACACCCTGGCAGTCCTCACTTCCTTGCCCAGAGCTTTCTGAGGCTTCTTCTAGGACAAATCTAGGCCATGCAGGGTGGCCTCAAGGCATGATCTAAATCCACCAAGGTCCTGGCTGTGTGCAGGGCCTGGGCAATACCAGCCCAGCTGCCCCATACCCTAGACTCTCCCTGGGTTTGGGGTAGACAGTGTGATGAACCCAGTAGGGATGAAGAGAGACTGTCCTAGCAGACTAATGGGTTTAGAGAAGCAAAGCACAGAGGCTGGGGTGACACCCCTTGGAAGGCACCTATGGTCAGAATTTTCTAGAATGTTGATGGGCTATAATGCTGTGTGAGTGATGGAGGGGGATGTTGGCCATCTTCAGGGGCTACTTGAGGACAACAGCATGTTAATCAATGAGCAGTCAGCCCTGAAATGAGCCTGGAGCTCTCCTGGGACAGGAAGCCTGTCCCCTTGGGTGCCCTTCAGGCCTCAGTGAGGCCACAGAGGAGTCCAGCTAGAGATGTTTGCTGTTTTCTATCTGCTACATGGGAATGACCACCCCTCCCACACAAGTGGGTGGGCATCTGCATTTTTTGACTTGCTGGGCATCCCTCCAGTGCCTGCATCCTGTGCTCTTGGATTCTCTCTACCCTCCCATCATCATTCACAATTCTTTAGACCAACTTCCCAATTCAAGTCACTTCAAACTGTTTTTAAAGAAATTTTCCTTGATGCTCGGCATCTTTTCTAAGAGGACATTGTGATCGAATAAAATCATATTTCTACCTAAGAGAAATGCACAGCATCTCAGCCTGCCCTCTCCCTGGTCTAGACATGCCTACCACATGTCTACATGCATGTACATACATGTACATACATGTACATACATATACCACAAACACATATCATACACACATATCTCTCTCTCTCTCTCTCTCTCTCTCTCTCTCTCTCTCACACACACACACACACACACAGGGCCCCCAAGGAGCATCCAGCCAACTGAGATTTCTAAGTGTTTCTTCTCTTTCCCAGGCCACAGGCAGGCCTCCTCATCCTTCCTGGCAACTTGGCACCCCCTGCTGGAAGAATATTTAAACAACACATCTTATGGATGAGGTAGGTGCCTTTGTCCTTGAGCTGGTTCACCAGCAGACTTGTCTCCAAAGAAGGGATGAAAGGGGGAATTACAGGAGGGGGTGCATCTGCACCCCCAGATATTTTTCATACCCTTATATAAATATCTAACTTTCCATATCCTTTTTAAAAATTTTTTTTGTTTTTTTCTTGGGGGGGTGTCTTTTTGAAGCAAGGTCTCCCTGTGGCCCCAGCTGTCTTGGAACTCACTATGTAGACCAGGCTGGCCTTGAACTCACAGAGATCCGCCTGCCTCTGCCTCCCAAGTGCTGGGACTACAGGCATGAGCCACCGTGCCCAGCTTAAAATATGTTTTAATTAACACATAGTAATTGCACATACTTAGGAGGTACAGGGTGGCATTTCAACACAGTGTGTAATGATGAGCTCAGGGTAACAGGCCACATCATCAGACAGATGTCATGCCCATTTTTTGAGAACACTTGAAATCCACTCTACTAGATATTTTGAAATGTTCAACTAAAATCATTGTCTGGATTGGAGAGATGGCTCAGCAGTTAAGAACGCCATACTGCTCTTGCAGAGGATCTGAGTTAAATTTCCAGCACCCACATCAGGCAGTTCACAATTGTGTGTCACTCCAGTTCCAGGGAATCCGATGCCTCTGACTTCCTCAGGCACCTAGGGCACTTGCACTCATGTGCACATCACACACATACACACACACAGTAAAAATAAAGTCTTTAAAATTGTTATCAATTACAGTAATGCTACTATGCTATAGGATATGAGGAAGCTAGCGTGCCTACCCAGGTGCACACATGCATCCATTAACCGCTATCTCTGGCAATCACTGCCCCTGAGATGGGTGTTATTTCACTTAAGGTAACCTCCCCAAGTTCCATCTCTGCTGCTGTAAATGCAGAATCTCTTCCTCTTTGTGGCTGAATAGCAATCTGCTGTACATATGTATCGCATTTTCTTTATGTGTTCATTGGTGCACACTCAGGTTGAGTCCCTATCTTGACCACTGTGAAAAGTGCTAAATAAGCATGTAAGGGCAGATGTCTCTTTATCAGGCTGAATTCAGTTACTTTGGATATACCCAACAGTGGAATCACTAGATCATGTGATAGCTCTATTTCTTTTTTAATTTTATTTATTTGCTTTTTATGTATATGAATGTTTAAGTCTGCAGGTATATAAATGCACCATGTACAGTGCCTGAAGAGGCCAGAAGAGGGCATCGGATTCCCTGGAACTAGAGTTACCCGCAGCTGTGAAACTGAACCTGGGTCTTCTGCAAGAGCAGCCAGTGATGCTCTTAACCCTGAGTCATCTCTTCAGCCCCTTATTTCTAGCTTTTTGAGGAACTTCCTAACTGCTTTCCCTGGCTATACTAATTTACATTCCCACCAGCAGTAGGTGTGGGAGTTCACCTTTTGCTCCATCCTAGTCAGCATTAGTTATTTTTTGTCTTTTTATAGTAATCATTCTGAGATGAAATGGTAGTCTATTTTGGGTTTTTTTAGGTGCTATATAGTGTCATTTTTTATGTCATTTCAGTTAATCCTTATACAGCAAGGTTACGTAAATGTCAGTACTAGAGTGAGGTATGTTATATATGTTAGAATGTGATTTTTGTCATCTCTAATAGATTTCCAATTCAGTGTATCCCACAAACTGCTTTATCTTGGGCCTGTGAACTATGGATCACATACAAATGTTTCTGCCA